GGGCCCGGGCTGTGGCCCTTGCTGACTCCACTGCAGCATGGAAGAAACGCGGAAAGGCGCTGTGCTTTCTCTCGGGGTGTTCAGGGAGACATTTCGGGGTTGGCACCAATCGTTTGTGGTTCCCGGCAGACTGGAAATGCTCCTCACCGTGAGGAAGAAGGTAAACCAGAGATAGCCGGAACGCGGAGAGACTTCATCCAAACGTGACCAGCCGCCAGCAATCACCAACTCCTCTTAATGTGCGGCACTGGAAACAAATGGGGGACACAGGCTGGTTTTAAGAAATTCTCATCACAGACATGGAAGTGACACAGGTTTAAGATGACTGTTTGCCACCCAGACTGAATTAATTTATAGCTCTTTCCAGTCTATTAATAACGGTAGTCTAAAAATCCCTTTTGCATCATTTCCTTCCTAGCGATACAGGACTAAAAAGGGACCTCTCAGGCCATGGCGTTTGATCTCCTGCCATCACAGGCAGCAAAGCTTCACATAACCACATCTGCATCTCGTGATGGGTTTGAGCCCATAAGGAATCTCACCCCACTCTGACAGTCAGAAAGCCTGTGTCAAACCTCTCCTTTACTGGTGGTTAAGAACTTTGAATTTACAACTTGAAAAATACATTAAAACATATATCTATATGTTCCTGCAGTAATTTTATTTAGTTTAATAGCTGCTTTTTCTGTTTCTCTGGTATTTACTTGCTTATAACAACTCAGTTCTCTGAATGACCATAGCTCTTTTAGACTTTCTGTATAAGCTCTGCACTGTCAGGGCTCATTCCCATTTTCTCTTTGTGTACATTCACCTTCCAGGAGCAGACTTTTGGAGCTGCACCATGGGGTGCAGTAGGGTCTCAGCAGTGCCTTCTACCTTCCCTGTGTGCTCTGAATAGTCCCTAGCTCCACACTACACTTATGGAGGTCTTTTATCACAACCATATGGCACCAATGATTTTAGTCATTCTAGGATTGGTGAATAACTCAGGGTCTTTTCCACAGTCCCTAGCAATTATTATATACCAGAAAGAGGCAAAATCCCTGTTACTGGTGTAGGTTGCACCTTTCTAACATCTTTCTCCACTTTCAGAAAACTGCCTTTTCTCAGTTAAGTTCTTTTCCATTCCAGTCCATATTCTTTCTAGTTTGCTTGAATGGAATTTCACCACTTACCTTGCTCCACAGCATCAATAGCTTGGTACCCATCATTCTGCTCTCCCCTCCCTGCATTGGCATTGCATAGAGGAATGAGGGACACTTCCCAGCAAGATCCTCCAGTCTGCCCACCAAGTCCAGCAGTGAAGCACTTCAGTTCCTGCCTTGGCCAGGAAAGTCATCCAAAAACCATGCTGTGTCTTCTTCACAGTTTCCTTCTGACCTGCTCAGGTTTTCTGCACGGCTGAGCATTGCCACATTGCTCTGAATTTCTGTATAAAGCCTAGACAAAAAGTCAAAGATATAATTGGTGTAAAGCAAGTGTGGAGGGAAGGAAGGCAGAAAATCTGTGACAAGAATACAGCAGAGTGACTTGTACAAACCTGGCATTAATTTCTAAAGCATTTGAGTTGAAGTGTACATTTAAGTACAAGGTCAGAGCACAGGAGCCAGTCAGCCTCAATTTATGTTCTATGCAGTTACCTGGGTACACTCTTATAAGGTGAAACTCAGGGTCCATAGACGTGCAAAAAGTTTTGTATAAGCTCTGGGTTTCAGGACCAACGCATGGGTTAAGAGCTTTGCAGGTGCACAGTGCCGAATCAGCAGCACAGCTCCCCTGCTGCAAGCCTGGAGGGGAGGAGCGCTGCTTGGATTCACGGTCAAGGCAGTAATTAACAGGATAGTGAAGACCCTCGGTCTTGTC